GCAGCAGTGCGGCGAAATGATGCCAATTATCAAGTTGCGGATCGTTCGATGAGACTAGGCCGCACGTTGGAATTTGATGAGGCCGAAATTCTCCCAAGAGGTGACAATCGGGTGAGCCGAGAATTACTTGAGTCATGGTTCACAGGCCCCCAATTCATAAACAAATGCAACGATTTGTCCAATGCACAGTCGGTGCTGAGCGCCAATTTGGCCAAAGCAAGTCGCCACTCGGGGAACGCACAGGCCACCGTGTCGTCTTACGCCAACACCGGAGGGCCAGATGGCCGAGCAATCATCACGCCTGAGTCCACCACGCGTGATGAAAGTTCAGCAAGTCAGAGCCTACATGCCGGATAGCAAGCTATCGACGCACAAGAGGGCAGTAAAGGCTAATTGTCGTTATTTGTTTGCAACAATGACTATGTCCTATAAATACTGCAAATTCCAGTGCATATGTTACCCGTTTCTTCTGTTACGTTCTGTCCATGTCTCTGATGAAAAATCCGCGACGAATATCGAAACATCAGGCGAATAAAAGTGTTGTCCAAGCGATCGGATCGTCTTCCTCTCAATTACTTTCTGGGACTCGCGTGTTTGCTTTTATTGATAAGGATGTTTTCCTTGTTTTTTTTCAAAGAGCGCATTCGAAATATTTTTGGTAGATAATTTTTCAAGCCAATGAACAGACCGGTAAGCAAGTGACAAGTAAGTCACCCTACTATTTGTCTAAATATGTAGTGCATACTCCTACGTTTAGAAGAAGCCCGCAACCCTCAGCATTCCACACTGTGCAGACCTTTCGAAGGACCATGTGATCACTTGTTGCTGTTGCATCGAAGTACAAACTCCAACCTAACACGGCCTGTTATGGCAGTCCTACTTCGTGGGAGCCGTGCCAGATTTCGCGGCACGGCTAGATGGACCTCGTTGCACACGGCAGTCGAAATATTGTGTCGTCTTCGTGTCCGAGACACGTGTAATGTTCCTGACTACCAGTGATCTAAGGCTATTACATTCATATTTTGCTTAATGGCAAAAGTAGCTTATGTCCTGCAAAACCGGTGGTTATAGAGTTTTGTAAGGTTGAGAAATAGGATAGGCAGAGAAGGAAATTGTTAGAAGTAAGTGTTAAGTGAAAACAAATGTACTCGAAGTTGCTTCCCGCGGCCGCTGGGAGCAGGT